ATATATATATAATATAGTGCAATTTTTTTTGCTGCAGCAATAAACAGAAAAGTGGCTGGGACTTACCAATGTAAGCTGTCGTGGATCAATGTCTATATGTATCTGGAGGAATGCCTACATATACACATATACTGTAAGTGTGTTTTCCAAACTTCTATGATAATAAAAATCACCTGGAGAATTGATTTTTTTAACAGGCTTTCTCCAGACCTACCAAAATAAACTCTTAGAGAAGGAGCTCAAGAATCTGTATTTTTTACAAATGACTCAGTCAATTCAGATCAGGCAGGTTTAGAAAACATTGTGGTCCTCAAAACAATCCCATGAGAATATTATTATCCTTCTTTTATAGTTGAGAAAACTGAGGTTAGAGAGATTAATTAACTATTCAAAGGACTCCCAAGTTAGGATAAAGCAATCTGACTTCCAAAATTTTTGTTCTTTTTTACTGCGCTAAGCTTTCTTTGTTCTCTGAGAAAATGATCAGGTTGGATGTGGAAACATAGAAAAATAGAAAAATTCATTTCTATTCCTCCTTTAAAACGTTACCTTCTGTTTTAAAGTGCTGGAGAAAAGAATATTGAGCCCTTGAATAAGAATGTGCATATTGATACAGCCCCCTCCATTTTATAGAAACGTAGAATACATAATTCTGTACCTGGCTTTTTTCACTCAACACTTTGACTTGGGGATGACATCACATCAGTATATAGAGACTCCCTTCATTCGTTTTCACAGACGTCCAAGTAACACATTATGTAGCTAGAACTCAGTTTATTTAGTCAGCCCCCTGTTAATGGACCCTTGGCTTGTTTCCAGGTTTTTGCTATAACAAATTATGCCTTAATAAGTAGGCCTGTGCAGATGCCATTTTGCACTTTTACCAGTGTGCATCTGTGGGAAATGCAATATTCTTAGAAAAGGAATGGCTGAGTCAGAAGTTAAATACATATTTAATTCTGATAGATATTGACTGTCAAACACCTCTAAAAATTCTGTACCATTTTTAATTTCTAAAGGCAGTATATGAGCGTGTTTTATTCCCCACATATATAAAGTCAAACATCTTTGTTTTGTCCCAGCTACGAGGTGAGCGATGGTTCTCCAGTGCGGTTTTAATTACACTTCTTTTATCATGAGCAAGAGGGGAAGGGGAAGTTTATATTTACAGCTTATTTTCTGTGAACAACGATCTCTATTCATCTCTAGCTCATTTTTTCTATAGGGTTTTTTTTTGGTGGGCACCCCCCCAAAATTTTTAATGTAATTTATCAAACTTTTCCCTATTGGTTATGCATTTTTAGTCAAAGTTTGGAACATTTTTCCTATTCCCAGGTTATAGAGAAATTCATCCATAATTTCTTACAGTTCTTATTTGTAGTTGGAATTTTTAAAAGGTCCTAAAAAGATTCATATGTACACCAAAGTAACAGGTTACAAATCCAAGGTTAGAAAGTGATGTCAACCATTGCAGTTTATTTACATGAGAAATGTTTAATAATCTGTCATGTTCATGTTTTTCTTAATTCTTCTAAATGAAGTCAATCTGAAGTCTTCTTGCCTGTATGATAAAATGTTCCATTAGTAAAACAGAAAAGATTATTCCTGGAGTAACGTATGGTCTTTATGAATAAACACATTCAATTATTGAAAACTTTACCTTTCTAAGAGAAGACAACATAAACCATTATGATGCAGCCCACAATCCAGCCAATCAAGAGAAGAATAGGGACCAGAAGGTGTGATAGTGTAGATTCTGGTTAAAAATAAAGAAAAGAAAACAGAGTAGGTAGGTCATTTTGGCATCATATCTTCTGAAGATAGAGAATTTATTTGAGAGAATAAATGGAATCTGATAATATCAAGAGGAAAAAAAAATACACTCTTCAGTCACTCTCAGACATGATTATTATCTTCTGTTTTACAAAGGGTACATGAGACTCGGCTGGGTATTTAAAAGGAAAGACCTGTGTTCAAATGATAGGCTTTCCTTATACAGTTATGCGACCTTGGGCAACTCTGAGCTTGAACTTCCCTATTTGTAGAGATAATGAAACTTGTGATATCTACCTCCCTGAGTTGTTGAGAGGATCAAATGATACTGTGCATGTGCAAGAGCTTTGCAAACTCTAACCTTCCTGTGTGTGTGCCTAGGGTACACAGAACACATCCCTGCATTTGTTCAAGAACACAGCAGCTGTTTACATAGAAACCATCAAAAATGACTTTTGAGGCAATTCCTCCTAAACTAAATAATCATAATATAGGGAAAGTTATTGAAAATTGTTGTTAGCCTTCATAGCTGACTTTAATCCTAAGTATCATAGGAAAAGAAAAGCATTATACCTTATATAATCATTCTCAACTAAAGAGATTCTATTTTCTTAACATATTCAATAGAGCAACCAACACTGATCCAACACACATAAAAGACATTTAGAACAATGATTACTCCTGTGTCTATTTTGAACTCTAATCTGAAGAAAGCAATTTATAAAATTATCATTTTTTAAATATTCATTGTACATGCACACCACACAAAAAGATTCAAAAAGAGCACAAAAAGACATCATATAGAATTAATGTCCACACATTAAGGACTCATATATTCTTAACTGAAAAGCACAATTGGGTTTTGTACCACCAGCTAACAAAGAGAACGCATATTCTTAGCAATTGTGTGCCTGTTACCATTTCTATCATTTTAAAATGTGAAGTTTTTTTTTTAATTACTATTAAAATCATCAGGAAAAGAAACACTTCTAAAATTAGGAGCTCCTCTAATAAAAGCAAACTTTGTGCAGTTAAAGTGAACTTTAATAGTTTAAATCTATCTTTCCAGGAATGTTGGCATGTCTTTTAACTCTCACAAATTCAACGGGTTTTCCTTGCTTCTCCATCTCGCTTTGACCTTGAACAAAGCATTAACCACTCATGGAAAAACCTTTCTCTTTACCTGCCTGTGGTATTGCTTTAAGTATAAAGCGAACATTGTGATGTGCCCTTTACTCTCATTTGGATGAAAGCCTTTTTATGAATTAAGGTGCCATTACAGTGGGAGTACATAGCAGTAACTTTTTTGAACTGTTCATATATGCGATTTCACTTTTTTCCCAGTTTCAAAGAACTTAAAAATTAATACAAATATTCTAATTGAGCATTTATAAATATCTTATACAAGCATATTTTTGTACGATTCTAAAATTTACATATAATAAAGCCCTAAAAGTATATATCTCATTATTTACTACTGATTGTAAAACAGTACAGTTGACTGCATTTCAACACTCAGAGTATGGTTGCATTTGTGTTCTTTTAACATGAATATTTTAAGTTTTACCATAATCTGTAGCATTATTTTGAAATAGGAATATATAGGAACAAATATACTTTGCATAGGTCACTTATATTATGGCACAAACAAGCACAAAACTTCTTTTTAAATATGAAGAGTGATTTCAAAACGCTTCTCTCTGTCCAATTCTGAGCATGCCCAAGAGGTTATACCTGGAAGTATCCTTAAGGGCACTGTGCTCTGAAACAAGACTGTCTGCATTCAGAATCTGCTGTCACCACTTTCTATGATCACAGGCAAGTGGCTATACTCAGCTATGCCTCAGTTTCCTTATCTGTAAAATGGAAATGAAGACAATACTGCCTATCTCATGAGATCATTGTCCAGATTAAGAGCAAACAGTGTAGTGTAAAAAAGCATTTCTTGGGGCGCCTGGGTGGCGCAGTCGGTTGGGCGTCCGACTTCAGCCAGGTCACGATCTCGCGGTCCGCGAGTTCGAGCCCCGCGTCGGGCTCTGGGCTGATGGCTCAGAGCCTGGAGCCTGTTTCCGATTCTGTGTCTCCCTCTCTCTCTGCCCCTCCCCCGTTCATGCTCTGTCTCTCTCTGTCCCAAAAATAAATAAACGTTGAAAAAAAAAAAAAAAAGCATTTCTTGGATACAATATATATTCAGCCCCTTCTGTCATAGTAGAGTCAATCATTTTTCTTAAATATAACTCACATTTTAAAACCAGAAAATAAGAAATTCAGATCTGAAGCATATCAGAAATGACTAAGTCCATTTTATTTATTTTCACTTTAGAGGCAGGCCCAGAGAGCTAGCGGAGCTTCCCCAAACTCACATGGCTGATCTGTGGACAGCCATGAATTGAGGACAGAATCAAATGTCCTCAATTCTGGTCCAGCACACCACAATACCTCGAATCTTGTATAACACTCGAGAATAGCTGACTCCCACCTCTTTCAAAACAAGCATGAACAAATTAAGCTCTTCTGTTTGATCCTTTGAAACTACATGTAACATACAGACATAATCCATAAATTGTACATTGAATGGCTTTTTTCGTAGCCATGCTAACATATATGATGAATGCCCATTTAGCAGAGATACCACATTCTTAAGAATAACTGAGAAATACTAAATACTGGGGAACATAAAACAAACCAGGGAGCTTGGGCCTGTCTTACCAAGAGGGTCTGATGCCTTAAATCTTACCTTTTTCAGCCATTCTTCCTGTTGCTGGGTGGGTTGGTCAGGGCCACACTCACCTCTTCGTTGTTGTCACGCACCGTCTCTTTGAACTTTAAATAGATATCTGAAGAGTGTGGCAGCTGCCTCTCTCCTGACTGCCAATTGTCTGCACAGTGATGTAAGGTGTTGGAGAACAGATCTCCCCTGGCTCTTCTTTATCCTGTTATCATGGAGGAAGCAAAGGGCTACATAAGCTAAACAATTAAAGAAGTTGAGCTATCCTAACCCAGAGATGGGCAGATTTTTAATTCACCCAATGCCTTCAGGCAACATGGAGAAAATGTTTAGGAAAGGGGGTGTACAGAGGAAAAACGGCATTGCAATTAGACAAGTTCTATCAAGGAGAGAGGGTAATCTACTGGGGGAGAAACACTTTGGAGTCGGAAAGACCTGGCTTCAAATTCCAACTCTGCTATTTCTGTAATGAAGGCCAAGTTGCTTAACCTGAGTATCAGCCTCTTGAATTTTAAAATGAGAATAGTGATACCTCTCCACAGTGGAGGGGTCATAAAGAGGAGATGAAAAAGCTATGTGGAAATACAGACATTTATTACATTACAGGATGCAAAAGATAAAGTAAATTAAGTGGTGCCCCTCACTGTGAACCATTCTAAAAACAGAACATTTTAATATAAATGTACTAGAAACTAAAACAACGAAAGGCTGGGGTATTGCCTAGAATTTTCAGAGAGCAGTCATAAGCTTGTTTTTATTAGCAATGTATAAAAATAGGACATCCCATTTTTCAAAGTCCAACCTGGTTTATGTAATATGACCTAGACTGTGCTCTAGATTCTCACTGGAATAACTTTAATTTTCAGGTCTGGATGGAAAAGTTTTGCAAAATGACCCTGTGACCAACTTCTCAGAAAGTCCACCACAAGATTAAGGGTGTCCTTCTTGAAAAGACAAGAGTTGCCTGACCAAGTCTACCTCCACAGAGCTCCGAGAGGGAGGTGTCCCTGCAAATCACCACATCTCATCACTCACCAGAATCCACCCATGGTTCTCCATCTCCCAGAAAATAAAAATCTGAACTCCTCACTGAGTACCTGAAAAGCCTCATCTTCCTACTTTCCCACTTGCAGTGACGCCTCAGCCACAGTGAATCCTTTGTGATATATGAATTCGGGATGAATTGATTTTTTACCTCAAGTCATATGCCTATAATTAGACTGTGCAGCCAACAATGTGGTAAGTTTATTACATGATTATACAATATGTTTATGTTATATCATTCAAGCACAGTTGTCATCTCTCTCTTTCTCTATATACAACGTAAATATACTTTTAAAAATGCCTGGGTATACCAGACAGAAGAGAGACTTGTAATATCTATGTAACAAAATCCCTGGTAAAGTCCATTTTTTTTAATACTAAATAATTATATATTGATAAAAGGTTAATTGAGGCAAGATAAACAGAGATAGAATGAAAAAGTGATTAATCTCACTTAAATACTGATTTTTTAAACTAAATAGATTCAAATGAATACCCTATCTTAAGACCAAAAAAAAAAAAAAGATATTAAAAAGAAACAGTGACATACCATCCAAAAAACAAATATACATATATACTAGTATAAAACAATTTGCCTAAAGTGGTTAAAAACAGAATGTATGAAAACATTTCTACATTAAAATTACCTTAAGCTTTCTTTTTTGATATAAAACTGACAATTATTAACATTGCTACCAATTTGAATTTTGAGGAGGAATTACTTTATAACTCATCATTTATTTTTGTTTTCTACAGAAAATGAGGGGGGGGGGGAACTAATTCAATGAACATGAATTGCCCAGATCTCAGAAAGGAGTTCAGTCTAGAATCTCATTTCTTTGGTATCCCATCAGTAACTTTTAAAAAATAATTATAATGTTTATTCAGGAAAAATGTTTTATTCACTAATAGACTGAATTCACTCTGAACTCAAATGCAAGGGCCTCTTTTGACAATTTTCTAATCTTCCTCTTAGGGCATACCATTTAGGAATGTTTTACATTTCTACTTTGCATAAAAATTTCTTCATGAGTTCTCAAATCCCTTATTATCAAAGTGACATTAGATTCTTCCAGGGCACTTAAGGTAAAAAAGTCAAATATTTGGCTTTTTATTCAAGATAAATCGTAATTCTTCATTTTTCTAATTTTTTCTAACCATTAGTGTCTGGAATTATAGTAGATAAATCTTCACATGATAGATTAAATGGACAAATTCCTCTTAAGACCTTAGCTTACCCAAACTGATTCAAAAAGAAAGAAAATTTGAATAGACTTATAACAAGTAAAACAATTGAAGTTATAATAAAAAAAATGTTTCACAAAGAAAAGCCCTGAGGGGTGCCACGGTGGCTCAGTTGGTTAAGCATGGTTAAGCATCAGACTTCAGCTCAGGTCAGGATCTCGCAGTTTGTGAGTTCCAGCCCCAAGTCAGGCTCTGTGTTGACAGCTCACAGCCTGGAACCTGCTTCAGATTTTGTCTCCCTGTCTCTCTGCCCCTCCTCCACTCACACTCTGTCTCTCTGTCTCTCTCCCTCTCAAAAATAAACATTTAAAAAATAATTAAAAAAAAAAAAAAAAGCCCTGGAACAGGTATCTTCGCTGGTGAATTCTTCCAAACATTTAGAGTTAACACCAATACCTCAAAAACTATAGAAGAGGAGAGAAGACTTCCCAACTCATTCTACAAGGCCAGTATTACTCCAATACCCAAACCAAAGATATTATAAGAAAAAAACTACAGACCAATCTCTCTAATGAATATAGGTGAAAAATTCTCAACAATAAACTGACAAACCAAATCCAGCAACATAAAACATCCTGAATTACATCCCAGGACCAAGTGGGATTTAACCCAGGAATGCAAAGTCAGCACAAAATTCAAATACCAATTCATGTTAATAACACCATATTAATAAAATTTTTTTAAAAGCCCAAAAAACAAAACAAAAAAAAAAAAACACATGATCATCTCACTAAATGCAGAAAAGCATTTGACAGACTCCAACCAACCAATTGGTAATAAAAGCGAACTTCCCCAACCTCATAAAGGGAATCTACAAAAACTCACAGCTAGCATCATATTTAATGGCAAAAGACTGGATGCCCCCCCCCCACCACCAATCTCATGAATAAAACAAGAACGTGTACGCTTATACTTTGATTCAATACTGTACTGGAGGTTGTAGCCAGGAGAATTAGGCAAGAAGATGAGATAAAAAGTCATCCAAATTAGAAAAGAAGAATTAAGCTATCTTCATTTGCATATAACATGATCTCATATACCAATAAATCCTTAAGAGCCCCTTCTGCACACAAAAAAACTCTCTTATTTTTTAAAATTTTTTAATATTTATGTATTTTTGAGAGAGAGAGAGCATGAGCAGGGGAGGGGCAGAGAGAGACACACACACAGAACCAGAAGCAGGCTCCAGGCTCTGAGCTGTCAGCACAGAGCCCTATGTGGGGCTTGAAGTTGTGAACCGTGAGATCATGACCTGAGCTGAAGTCAGATGCTTAACCAACTGAGCCACCCCAGCTCAAAAAACCCACCCCCCAAAAAACTCTATTAGAAGTAATAATCAAATTCAGCAAGATTGTAAAATATAAGATCAACATGCAAAAGTCAATTGTATTTCTACACAATAGCAATGAACAGTTTGAAAATTAAAAAATAACATTACAATAGCATCAAAAAGAATAAAATACTTAAGAATAAAGAATAAATTTAATCAAAGATGTATAAGCCTTGTAACTAAAGACTAACAAACCCTTGCTGAAGGAAATTAAAGAAAATCTAAATAAATAGGCATTCTGTGTTCACGAATTGAAACAATATTGTTAAAGATGGCAGTACCACTCAAAACAATCTACAGGGTGACTGTATTCCTATCAAAATACCAATGGTCTTTTTTACAGAAATGGAAAATCTAATCTTAGAATTCATATGGAATTGCAAAGGACCCTGAATAATCAAAACAATCTTAAAGAGGAAATACAAGGGACTCACACTTACTGATTTGAAAATGTACTATAAAGCTACAGTAATCAATAATGTGTGGTACAGGCATAAGGAGAGACATACAGGTGAATAGAATAGAATTGAACATCCAGAAATAAATCCACTCACTAGTGGTTAATTGATTTTCAACTGAGGTGCCAAGACAGTATATTAGGGAAAGAATAGTCTTTTCAACAAATGGTGCTGGGACAACTAGTCTTCTACATACAAAAGAATGAAAGTGAACTCCTACCTCATACCATATACAAAAATTAAGCCAAAATGAACCAAAGACCTAAATGTAAGAGCTAAAACTATAAAATTAGAAGAAATCATAGGGGTAAAACAGGCAACAGTTTCTTAGATAAAGAAACATACATAAAGTACAAGCAATCA